GCTGCCAAATTCAGTTCAATATCTAATTCATCATTATAACTGAATTATTGCTGAATAAATTAATTAATAAAATGAAATGTATAAAGTTCGAATAAATAACTGAATGATTGTCAATAAATTGATTAATAAAATGGATAAAGTCGGATAATGACTGAACATTTATTATTACAATGAAAATCGTGTTAAGATTACAGTGGAAAAGACGGACTTTTCCCGCTATCACTATTTGCAAATTTTCATGATAATGAGCGTTTCTGCAATTAAAATTTAAATAATGGATTATTTTTTTTTTATGGAGAATATATAATTATTTATTTTTTGATTTATAAAATACTTTTATGGTCGGAAAATAAATAGTATAGAACTCTGAGATGTTGGTATTAGGCAAAAGTATGTATTAATATTAAGCGTTAATTGGTGATCCGCCTATGAAACAGTGAAAGGATCGACATTAAAAAACGGGGGAAATTATTATCCACAAGCACCAGAACGAAACATACAGTGTTAAGAAAAAAACGACAGTGACAAAAAATTGTATATCTCAACAATTACATAACATAAATTTAGATTCGTTTGAAAGTTTATCAAATTACCTTGTTAAATAAAAAAAATAGACATGATATGCTATTGACAATTCTCTGTAAAGCTAATGCAAAATGTTTGTTTCTGAAATTTTAACACGGAAATTTTCAATAATAAGCCTGATACAAAATTATACATAATAATCATACAAAAATTATACTAGTTTGAATGAAAGTTCTGGAGATTATATATATAAATTTTCATACTTCCAGATTTTGTCAATTGGAAATAAAAGGAATTTGATTATTTTGAAAAAAACAATTCAATGTGTAAATATCTTTAATAATTGCTCATCAAAAATTTCATGTTATAGTCTAAGATCCTCCGATTCTCTGGTATAATTTTCATCATATAATTTTGGCTACTTTTTCATTAAAACAATATTCTTACTAACCACCGTTTTTTTCTTAACACCCTGTAAATTCAACAGGATCTAAAAGTGAGATAAAAAAAAATTTACAAGAATTTGGAGATAATATAAATAAAATCGATGAGAGTTATAATCAATGTATAGATATGTGAGTAAATATTTATCAAAAAATTTTATTAAAAAAAATCTTAAAAATATCATAGTTATTTATCATTTATTTCAGAAAGGTTTTGTTGAAAGAAAAACTATTACCCGGGTTTGCATTGAAAAGCAATCAAAAATTTGGAAAAAAAGGTGGTGGTAAACATCTAAATGTAAATGTTGTAGAAAAGCTCAAGATAATGTTTCTCCAAGGTAATTTTGATAATTATATATAATTATATGAAGCTGTCAGCTGAAGATATGCTCAATGATCTGGCCAAGAGAAATAAAATTGAAGAATATGATATACCAACACTTTAGCAAATTAAATAATGCATCTCAAGATTTAATCAAAAATATAAAAAAGAATCTTCGGTTATAAATAAAGAAAATAACAAAATCATTGAATTTTTTATATTTTATTATGTTTATCCAAATAAAATTTTAAACTTACTGAATGTATAATTTTTTCTTTGTATATGGAACAAAAGTGTACATTTTTCCCCCGCCGATCACTAATTAAAATTCACTGATTCATAGACGGATCATCTATTACTGGTCAACCACCTATACAAAGAGCTAACAGTTATCGTCGTCGCATATTGTATTGTGTTAAAAGTAATTGTTGTAAACGTA